CAATAGTAGCCCGAATAGGACGGCTCGAGCGGGGAAGGTCCACGCTCTCACAGAATATCAGCGCAAAATAGCAGCTTAATATTGCTGTGTTTCGTATGGTGCGTGTAGGGAACAGGACCCATTTTACTGGAAACTCCATCTTAGTCGTCAGAGATGACAATGCATCTGCATTTTCATTCTTGATTGAAGATAGATGTAGATGTCTAGTCGGTGTACCTACTATATGTTCGTTTGTCAACCTAATTCTACACAAAAACAGTTCGAGTGGAACAAGGATTTGAGTGAAGCTCACAGGGATGGTCAGTTGTATTTACAGTACATACTTCTACCACTAACTTTACGGTTATATGATAGAAAATGCCTTATGGCGTTAAGACCGCTGTTTAGTACAAAAAGTGTAAAATATATAAAAAATAATTTTTGTTTATTCGTATTTTATGTGCTGCCATACCGTTCATAAAATTGCACTAAAACTTTGTCAACTTATTGCTTGCACTTGTGAGAAGGTATAATTAACTTACTATAGGTGATGAACGCACAAACTGGAACACTCCTTTGTGCTTTGAGCTGGCGTTTGCGTATACGTCAGAGAGGAAATCAGAAGGATAGAATTGGGGCTTCGGCGTCACTTGATCTCGCTTCGCTTGATCTACGTCCCGCTGAAGGCCGCAATTCTCTCCAGTAGAGGTCCAAATTAATCCAACCAAACTAGTGCCTACATGCTCGCAAGTTTCTATATTACATCACTTTATTTAACCAATAGTGTTGATCGCAATGGTCTAGAGGTTTGTACTACGAGCGGACTACAAAGCCTGATGGTTGCGGTTCGATTCCCACACAGTACAAAAATTAGTGCGCATGAACACGTTTGTTTGTACTGTTGGAGGTCTTTTAACTGTGTAACTAGCAAACGCCAGTAGCTTCGCCCGCACGGACTTTTTACATTATCGTACGTTTTCGTATTTTTCCATCCCACGGGAACAAGTATACTTATACTTACATTTGAGTTATTGAGCATTATATTCAGAGCGTTTGTAAGATACTGCTGGTATTACTGCATCTATATTATACGTAATCAATAATGATACGACTTGTTTTGACTAACTTCATTTTGGCCAGTGCTAATAAAACAATTTTTTTTATGATTATACCTAATATAGCGCTAGCTTCTATTAGTTGCGCGAATACAATTATCTTTACCTTATTAGCAAAATCTATCGTGTTAATATAATACCTCTACAATTTCTTCTATTTATGGTCAGGTATTCTAGCATGTGTAGGAATTAAATTAAAAAGTGTGCGAAGCTGAGCTTATGCTAATCTATATACTAATATTAATATTAATATTAATAATATAATATAGCGGAAGAGTTTTTTGTTTTTTTGTTTGTTTATACGCGCTAATCTCTGGAACTAACAGTCCGATTTGAAAAATTATTTTTGTATATTATAGCCAGATTCATGTGGTATAATAGTATAGGCTATCTAGCACTAAGCTATATCACTCAGCTAGCCTTAAATATGGATATTTGTTAAGCAAGTCAGAAGAAAAAGCACTCCCGAAAAGATTTATCCGCGTACGCTGGTGTTATCGTTAGGGATACGTAAATACAATGTTCTAGAAAAAATATAGATCTTTACTCCGTCTAAAAAAAAAGTCCGCGATACCATAGGTCTATTTCTTATACATAAGCCATAATTAGGTATTTTGTGACAAAAAAATATTGAAAATTTAAAAGTGATTTATGAGCGTTATTATTAGGCATGGCCTATTTATCCTTACGAACGAAAGTTAATTCATCATCAAGACAATTTTATGAAGATAAACTTTGTTCTTTATACCATGTTATTTGGACGCATAGTTTAAGAGATAATGTAAAATTAAATAATTCAATACTTGGCTGGGCGCGTGAACTACGCATAAACCCTAGCCGCCCGGTAAGAACAGCGAGAAGCCAGTATACAAAGCTTCTAAGAGCGAGGTTAGTTCAATGATTATAGCTAAAATTAATTAAAAATTTATTGAGTTCTTCTATGACAATGATTATTTCCATCTTTATTTCTGAACTCTTTCATTTTACGTTGCTATGGTATTTTGAAAATTTTATTGATTAATAAGTATAAGAGTTTGATAGCAAATTTATCAATAATCATTTCATGCCTACACACTTTTCATGTATCGTGTACGGTTTTCTTTAAAACTGTAAAAAACCGTGCTTCGGGACACTTTCTGGGACGTGAGGGGGAGGGGGGGGGACGCTCAACCGGGAGGGGAGGGAAAGTGGATAAAACCTAACTTCGTTCTACATCATACATAATATGCCGACGGATAAGAGTACTCCATTAATTATGCCAATTTTTCCATTCATTGCTATCAAATAAAATATTTAATTGCAATTATAAAATACTTGAACTAGGTCATGTCGCACACCTCCGACACGTTATGACACGGGTGAAACCGCGGGGCGCAGCTAGTGTTTCATAATTGTTTTATTCTCATAGCGAGTGCACGTTGATTAAAACGTTCGTCAAATAAATATCTACATTGGTGAGCTTAAACATTTTTACTACACTACCACTAGCGCCCTCTAGTGTTGAGTAGCAGAACTAGGAGAGTCAAGATCCTTCTAGAAATTTCGGGACCGATATGTACTCGAACATTCTAGATGTTTCTACAGTAAAAGGTTCTGGAAACTATCCTCTATGGGCTCTATATAAGGCCGGTATAGACCACGACCGAGTCAATATTGAATTGGCGATATAAGCGAATACTTCGAAGCGAAATAACTGCGAACTAAAGTGATCAGTAGTACAATTGTGTTTTATTATTAGTGTGGTTTTAAGTTTTAACAGATAATATGACATTTCCACCAAGTTCTAAATTATACTAAATTACTAGCTGTTCCCTGCGACTTCGCCCGCGTGTTATTTGGGGTTTTAATTTATTTACGCGGTACCCTAATTATTTTTCTAAAATAAAAGCAGCTTAAGTTACTCCATGTGACATCAGCTATCTGCCAGTGAAAACCCCATCAAAATCGGTCCAGCCGTTTCGGAGATTAGCCGGAACAAACAGACAGACAGACAGACAAAAACTTTAAAAATTGTATTTTTGTTATTAGTACCGTATATACTTTCATATGCATTTAGTAAAAAGCTGTAATTTTGACATTACAAACAGACACTTCAATTTTATTTATTTGTATAGATTCAAGGAAATGAATCCTAATGTGAGCGTTAATATTTATGGTTTATATAAAAAAAATAATGTGACTGGACCCGCTGTATAAAATAAAACTTTAATAAGAAAGATATTATGGTCTAATGACAACTTTAGAAATAGTATGTGTATAACTAGATCAAAGAATCATCAAATATTTTCTCAAAAAGTTGATAACTTTTAATAGAGATGATGACAAAAGACAAATTATGGCTACAACACGTTACCTACCATCAGAGATTTAAATATATATGTTTACTACTACTTATATGTCTTTGGTTATCATGGGGACACTATAGAACTGTATTTTAATAAATTTTAATATAAAACTATGTATTGGTACTACTATGTACTGTATAAGTAAGTAAGAGATAAATGTATAGCTTAAGTTACATGTATTGTCATGTTTATAACTTTATATCTAGTTTTAATAATTACTTTCGTTGGAACAATAAATGTCTGTTTCTTTATTTCGCTCTACTCAATTAAATAATGATGATACATAAGTAATAAACAGCAATAAAATTCAATGTATAATAACTTTTATTATATTTAACATGCTACACACATAATTTTTCACCTATTTTTAATAAAACAATTTGTAGCATTTAACACTTCATCATACGTTGAATCCACGACATATTGAACACTTATATTAGCATTGAGATCGCTGATGACATTTTCTTCTTGCTCATTAAGTTCGTAAATGTTGATTTTAATTAGACGATGACGACCTCGTTTATCTTTATCTTGGCGGATAATGTATGATGATGATGATGAATCTTGATAACGTTTTATCTTCTGGGAACATTTCTTTAATTTTGATTACCGCTCTTCATTTATAGCTATTCTATTTGGTGGTAAATCATGAAGCCGCTCCTCTTAGTTGTAATAATTTAGTACAAATTTATCCACACCTGAACATAGTAATACGGATTAGTGATAGGATTAGAGAATCAATGTTTTCCTCAGTATTGACCATGATCTGAAATTAACATAACAAGTATGAAGACAAAAATAAAAAAATAAATTTAATCACGACTGAATTTCTGAATAGTAAAAATGATTAATCTCACCAATATAATATTATGTATATATTTGCGCGTGTTAGTATGGAGGATAATAATATATTTCTAGAAAATATTAATTTACAATCTACTGCAGACAACTACTTAAAATCAAGAAACTATTTTTTAAGTTGTAATCGAAAGTACCTATGAGATTTAAATATGATTTTGACTGAAAGCGAAAGCTTTATTTTCTGATCGGAACGTAACATTTGATAGCAGTCTATGTTGATTGTTGACAGTTTGATTTGACAGTTGACGATTCGTCTTATTTGAAAATTTTATGATGTTTGTCAGTTTATCTTCAATTTACATTTTCATTTGCAAATGTAAACTCAAAACTATTTGTTCATTTTAATAATCAATAGTGATTGTATGCTTCTTTAACTTATCGTAAAAAATCGGAAAGAAATTTCATTTGGTGGTAGTACTGCTAATTGTTGTACCTATATAGATTAAAATTATATTCTCCTTGCTGTTTGTTATCGATTTTTATTTTGTTAATTTTGTTATTTTAATCTGAACTATCAGTCAACTATCTATTTATATTAGATTTTGATAGAATTTTAACAATTTGGTTATATTCAAGATTTAGTAAGGGATATTTTTTCATGTAAGTTTTAGTTTGCTCTTAATAGTGTTTTTATATCTTAATCTTAATCCACACCAATTGATTAATATATTTATGAAAATTACAATTTCAGTAGAATAAAATGCTACCACGATCATATTATACAGAACAAGACGTAAGAAAAAGGCAAATAGATACACTTAAGATCTTTAATGCTAATGTAACAGAAATTAAGGAAAATGCTGAATATAGAGTTGAGTTTATCGCTGATGGAAGAAACATGAGTCTTAATATTGTTTTAAGTTCAGAATTCCCAAATGAAAAGCCTGCAATTTTCGTTAGTCCATTATTTTCTCATCCATGGATTGCAGAAAACACAAACCAAGTTGTCGGAGCACCAGGACTAATAAATTTCACTGTACACTCTGATTTAGGTAACTATTATGTATAAAACTTTGAAACAGAACTATCTATTAAGGCTGAACCGTCAGATTATTTTCAATCCTTCATTTTTAGTAGTGTTCTGTGGAGTGTGTTTTGACCTGACAAGACTAACTTATAGATTAAAATAAAATATTAATGAATATTATATATTAACACTCCTTTTAATTTATATTTTAGTACTAATATTTAAAATTACCCCTACAATGTGCTGGTGGCATAAGAAAATCCATTACCCCCTTTTGTCGATTTGTAAGAGGTTGTGTATGGGACCATCTTGTTCATGCCAAACATAAAATACTCAGATTAGTGTAGCCTCTGTTGGTGTTAAACTATTGTCAGCGTTTTGTGAGTGTAAGTGAGGAGTATGGCAACAGCGATGCCAGCATCTGCGCACTGTTCTATCTGTATGGTTAAGCTCATTATGGACATAATTAAGATGAGAACAAGTGAATTAGTTTCAATCTTTTATTGAAGAGATGTTGACAGTAACTCCTACACCGGCAATGTATAGTGTTAGTGTCATAGTTTCAAGAAGTCTGGGATTACTAATCTGCCCACCACCTGCCTCCATACAATGTTCTCAAGTCACCTCGATACAAAATATTGAAGTTAGAAGCAAAAAGAGAATGGTCAAAATCCAATAAAAGAAATTATATTAATTTGGGTAAAATAGTCATTAATCTCTATATTCCTATCATATTGATTCTCCCTTTCTTAATACTCATGATTTAAATGCAAAATAAGCACTAGATGTGTTGTTGTGGAAAACAGCCCCTCGTTATCTATCTATCTACTCATGATTTATGTGTAACAGAAATGAGGTGTGGTATGATAAGGCTGACAACGTGGTAGAGCCATGCTGCAGCTATATTATGGTTGTAGCACGAATGGGTCGGCTCGACCGGGGAAGGACCACGCTCTCACAGAAAACAAGCGTAAAATAGCAGCTTAACGCTGCTGTGTTTCGTATGGTGAGTGTAGAGAACCGGAGACCCTTTTTACTGGCAAAGAGGCATTCCATCTTAGTCCTCACGGGTGACAACGCATCTGCATCTTGAGTCTTTATTGAGGATAGATGTAGATGTCTATGGGTCACAGTAACCACTTACCATCAGGTGGACTGTGTGCTCGTTTGTCACCCGATCCTATAAAAAAAAAAAAAAAAAAAAACATATCCTTGAAAGGATGAAAGCTTTTTTAAATATATTAAATAAATAAAAAACCCTGACGATACTATGTACTGAATCCACATTTTATCTCATGGGTATTTTAAATTGCGGCTAAGGGATACACTTCCAATTGACGGTGGTATAACTATCTTGTTTATGCCAGATGTCTCAAAGAAGACAACCAGAGAACTCAAAAGGTTGTGGGTTCTAATCAGTATCTAGTATTCTTTAAAAAAAAAAGAATAAAAAAATATGTAAAATAGTCAGACTGGTAACAGGGAGCAGCTTCAAAGGTACAAGAAATCTAAGACCTCACCTGCCAAGCATAGTGATTTTGTCAAATATTTATTTGAATATACATTTTTATTTTATAGGGTAGGGTGACAAACTAGCACACAGTCCACCTGATGGTAAGTGGTTGCTGAGGCCCATAGACATTTACATCTATCCTTGATTAAGAATCAAAATGCAGATGTATTGTTACCGTTTTATTTTAACATACCGTTTATTATGATGTTTAGACCTTTTACAACAACTTAATGTTTTCAAAACGAATTTAAATTCTGTTTATAATATTTATAGGCCGTGTAGTTCAAGCTATTATAAGAGAGTTTCAAAAGACCATTCCAAATATTACAAGTAATGAAGAAAAGCCTGCAGACAGCAGTCCACAGTCAATAATAAGTTCACAGTCCATGATATTTCCAGAGCTAAGTGAACTAAGCATAGATGAACTTCAGGAGATATTAGAAAATCCTGATTTACAGGTAATTTTATTTTTAGTAACATGAAATAATACTAGCCCTACCAAAAGAGCCCAAAATCTCAAGCACTCTGCAAAAAACCGCATCAACGCCCCCTGTTGGTTAGTCACTGGTTTCTCACACTGAAATCTGTCTAAGAATCATTCCAAATAAATCAATTGTGACACTACAAAAAACCGCATCTAAATTGGTTAAGCCAGTTTGAGGAAATGTTTATAGCAATGGCTCCTAGTGAGTTAACACCATAACACTTATCTTAGGACAATCGCTGAGGAATCACAAACTCCACAGAAAACTGTATCTTAATTGGTCAAACCGCCTTTTAGATGGGAAGATTTGTTTACATCCACAAACAATCCCTCACCCTAAACGCATACACCTTGTATTCCATTGTGAGTAAGAACAACTTTATTTATCAATGTTAAAATTAAAGTATGATGTTAAAAATAATCGGTTATAATATAATCGGTATCCATGGGTTCCCTGTATATTTCATCAGGTTATCACCCGATCAAATGGGGTATTGCCAATATATAAGGCTGCCTCTGCTGATCCTTCCTTATTGGTTGTACGTTTTTTGCTCACTTATAGTCATTTTGGCCCCTAATCTGCTAGGATGTGTCAATAGCTCTCGTCTTCTTCTGTGGATTTTATCCTGATTGATTTTATCATACAGGTAAACTGCATGCATAGCCATAGTGGCAAAATCTGCAGGGTAGGTCGATATTTAGCATTGAACTTGTGATGGAATGTAATGGTGATGATAACTTTTAAATAGCAAATATTTTGTCATCTCATCTTCATCAATCCACTAATGGCCTGACTGCGACCAATACCTAACAGGATGATCGATTGCAGTTTCAGATGTCTTCGAATCATCTGGTCTGATGTGATCATCATCATCATCATCATCATCATTGCAGCTTAATATCAAAAGTCCTCTGCTAAACATAGGCCTCCCCCATAGATGGCTTCAAACGGGGAATATTTATCATAGTTGCCATGCTAAGCAGGCAAATTGGCAACTACAGTTTTATTATTATTTTGAGTTGTTATTTTTACAGAGACATGTGACACCGTGTACTGTGTATTACCGTACTTATTAAACACTTAGTACTTCTTCTTGTTGGTCTGGAGATATCTTGTATAAATTTGTGGTGGTTATGTTTATACCAAATCTGTTACAATGCCACAAGATCCATGGCACAAGAACTTGTTCTGAAGGAATCTCTTAGAGGAAAGTTTAAAGAAATAAATAATACCTTTGGAATCTCAGTTTTATTAAGGCAAAAAATGTTTGGTGAGGATTATTATACTGCTAAAGAGTACATGATTGATAATAACCCCTGGGAATGAGGTGATCGCTACTATATGCTGTTTGTAAATGTTTTCGTTTGTATAAAATACTAGCGATCCGCCCCGGCTTCGCACGGGTGATTTCTGGATCTCGACAAAAGCTCCACCTACCGGGTCCAATTGTGAATTTAAACACACAAAAAATCAGTCGAGCCAGTTTCGAGTTTTAGCGAGACTAACGGACAGTAATTGTTTTTTATATATAGAGATTATATTGTAATTTTATTTAAAGTCCCACTGGGTTTCTTCCTGGTTCTTTCCAGGTCAGACAATTTTTCCGAACCAGTGGTAAAGCTTAAATGACTCAATAAGTAGGTATTCTTGTAATCTTTACTGCATAAAAATTATTCTAGTTATGCTAGATAAGATAAGATAAGATGATTTATTTGTTAGAATATGGTACATTTAAGTTGTTACAGAATAATTCAAATCCTAAATATTCTGCAGTTTCCTGCGTACAAATATTTTCAGACAGATTACGATCGAATTTAATAGAAGACCAAGATAATTATTATAGAATATAAATATACTAACAGCTATACTTAAAGAAACTAAGTAGCATCTATATAAAAACAAAAATGTCAATCAATTAATTCATAATATTTTTTAGTTAAAACATGTCAATAAATTAAGTCGAGATTAATTTAAATAATTACAATTCAAGTCAAATTTATCATTTAGGTAGTCATTTATAGAGTAATAGCATGTATTTAAAAGAAATTTATATAATCTACTTTTACAGATTCCTGTATTCATTTCTTTTTCTTTTATGGTGTTTTTCTATTCTGTTATGGTGGTCTATACCTATAAAATCAAAAAATCAAGATTATTGTATGCTTTTCTGTGTTGTTGTCTTGTTCTGTGTTTTTTTGTCGTAAATCCCTGTTATAAACAAGAGGAGACAGTAACTATTTTTATGTTTGTAAGAAACTGTCTTGGTTCTTAATATTATGTTAGTGTCACAATCTGGTTACAATTTATTATAAGCAATTCATAGGTCTATCACATAAAATACAATAGGCTCTTTTTATTACAGGCAATTTATTTTGTCTTTTTTATCAGAAGTCTTCCACATCCACAAAAACTCACAGGCACTCTTTTGAAGTCTATGAAAAACGTTTTTCTAATTTGGACCTTACAACATGTGGTTTAGAAGTCCCTATCAACCATTGAAAATGTGTCTTTTGTGACCAAATTTAACCACAAATCCATTGCATGCCAATCTCACTTACCGTAAATTTTCATGTGACAGGGTGCTTTGATAACAATGAATCCTTTATCAATTTCCAGGACAAACTTCTAGAAACCAACCCTCAACTAGTTGAGCTAGACCTAGAAACCGAAGAACTAATGAACAGCATAGAAGAGATTGCTCAAGACAACATAGCCAAACAACAGATGCTGGATGATCTGAAAACAGAAGTGATAGATAGAATATCTACGATAGTTCAAATGAAAATGAACTATGAAGAGTTGAACAAGAAGCACCAGAAGTTAGCAGAGATGTATGATCCACATAGAATCAGGGATTGTTTGAGAGAAGCCGCATTGAAAGCTGATGAGGATGCAGAGGTCATAGCTGAACAATTTTTGTTAGGTGAGTAGAATTTTAAGTCTTAATTGGGTCAAATTACAAAATCTGGTGTATTTTAGTTATAGGCTTCAACTATAAATTAATAAATAAATGAAACATACTTTATTGCACACTAATTAACATGAGAATAAAATAAAAAAGAAACAAAATTTATACGAGAGTTTGCCTGGTGGCCTTTCCACTTAAAAGTAACTATCAGTAATTATAATTTTTTTTTTAAACCAAATGTTAAACTGGAGGCTATCTATTAACCACATTTTTTAATCCGCAAGATTGTAGCTACTATGGCCAATGTGAAATTGAAAGAAATTGGCTGTACTAGCCGCAGTATGCAGATTTTGTCTGCCTGTTGACAGCAGAGTCAAAACACTATTATTACCCAACCATAATGTTACTACCGGTCCCTAGTTTATAGAAATTGTGGTCGGTATTTTTAAAGTATTTCCTGTCATAAAAATTTGCAGTCATTTTGGGGCCTGCCGACGGAAGTGATACCTTTTTTCTGGAAAAACTCATTCAAAGTGCTAATATGAACTTACAGGGTTGTATTGGTGATTTTAATGATAATAATTCTGTAAACACATTATCGCTACGGTCGCGAATGATATTTTGTTAAATATAAAACCTAACCCTGACCTGCAAATTCCAAAAAACGCAAGAAAATCTGAATTTCGCGGGCCACCCTGTAGCTTCCACCTTCTTTTATTAAATTTATTGTAGTGTCTAAAATTTAAATTTCATAATTTGTAAATTAAAATAATTAACATTAGTCTGGTTTTCACATCTACCGGCACTCTGAGCAACAGTTATATTCATTTATATATGTTATATTTATTAATCAAAACATAATATGTTTCGCTGCACAAGTCCAGTACAAATACTTGACAAATTAATACAACTTAATTGACATAATAATATTAATCACTGCTACTACTGCATAATAATTAATTTCACACATCATTGAACACATAGTGCAGTGTACATTTATCGTTGTTTCATAACAATTTAATAACTTTATGTTAAATGAAGATATCACAATAATATTTTTTTTAGATAAGGGCCAAGTGAGAAATAAAACATAGAAAACCTAATTGTAATCTATCCAATAGTTTTTCCGTGATGCGCGCACAACTGCAAACCTGCATCATTTTATTTATATACATAATATAATATGTTTTCAACGTACTTAATTTTTAAAATTATTGTTATTGTTTGCACCATTATTATCATTAATTACAGCATGTCGGTGACGCGAACTCAAGAAGGTTTTACCTATCCAAAAATCGCCCAACGCGCCTAAAGAAGTGTTCACTTCAAAGAATTGTATGTGCTTAAACAGATAAAACTTTCTTTTTCACAGGCAACATTCCCGTAGAAACATTCATAGCTAAATTTGCAGAGAAGAGAGCCCTGGGCCAAGCGAGACGAGCAAGGGAGGAACGGCTAGCGCATCAGTTGACACAACTGGATAGAGCCACAACTTAAACAAAAATCTTTATATTATTTTAATTATATCTTAAGTACCTTTGGTACTCTTATATATTTAATACATAGATTAAATGTAATGGGTGAATATATTTGGATATGGAAGCTTTACATATAAAATATAGCCCTATATACTGATAGTCTTCCACTGTATGTTAGTTTTGGTATTCACAAATTGTCAAAATTATTTGACTTACTTTTGTATGTATTGTATTGATGTTAAGGTGTGATTAGAGTAAAATAAAGTGCGGAAGCTTCATACAAGAGTGTCACTAGGCACGCACGCAAGCGCGGGGTTCACGTACAGAGTAAGTAACACACAGAGAAAATAACGCTACGCATGCATAGGTAGTACTAAATGTCAATTTATTTTCTCTGTTCTGCTACTGTTGGTAAACCCCGCTTGTATGAAGCTTCCACACTCGTTCAGTGAGCGTAATGCTTACATAAACAATAACAGTATTTATTGAAATGAATTAAAAAAATATCGGACGCGCTTATATTTGTTGGTTGTTGCTTACATATGTATTAATTTTCCCTATACCTGTCTCTTTCTATTGTCATTTAGTGAAGAGAGAGAAAGAGAGAGAATATACTTGAAGCATTTCATAGTGCCGTCGATTTTTATGAGTAAGGCCGTCTATTATGTTTATCTCTAAAATATAAAAAATACCCATTAATAATAACTATAATAAATTTTAGATGTAAATTATAATTTTTTTTATTTTAACCGGACTACCCCAGATCTATCTGTGTATGTTTGTTTCTGTTTCGTGATCATTGTGACAGCTCTTCCCAAGTCCACTACTGAACATAGACCTCTCCCAGGAATGCTACAAAACATGGTCCTGAGGTACTTGCACAATTTTTATAGAATAAAGGTGACAAACACAAACACATTTCACCTGCAAGTAGATTGTGCGGGCCATATGCATCTACATTTATCCACGATTAAGAATGAAAATGCAAATGCGTTGTCGGCCCTGAGAACTAAAATGCAATGCCTCATCATAAATAAAACGGATCTCCAAATCTCGTCACTCACCATATGAAACACAGCATCACTATGCTGCTATTTTACGCTGATATTCTGTAAGAGCGTAACCGTCACCCGGTCGCTCATTGCCCATTATGTTAAGCGTTAGCAGGTGTTCTATAAATAAGGATACATATATGTAGCGGTTGCATAGTGATACGATATAGGTGGGTAATTGTAAGGTAGGTTTTAGCAGATCAATAAAACACAGGTACGAATTTATAAAACGATGTTTATTAAAAAAACAATAACCTAACTAATTTACTAACTTTTAAAAAGGGTTAACTTTTTACTTAATTGTCGTTTTGTTTGTTTGATCGCAGTTTTATGTACAAGATGTTACCATCTAATATCAATATTGTTACGGCCTACGGCTGCTCCTCTAAAGGTCAAATCCTCAGGGGCCCATTCAGCTGAGTTTCGACGAGCAGACGTAGGTCGGGCCTCCTAAGGCCAAAGTGGAAAATCTCTAGTTACACCAAACAATAAGGGAGAAAGCTAGAAACACATCGTACTTACCATTATCCGAAGCTAACTTCGCACCAAGGCTTGGGCAGGCCGTGAGTGTGTGTAATAGTGGATGGTGAGTAGTGTACAGTGAGGTGTAAATGTGTGGGGCCTTGGCAAGCATAAGTGACCAGCAGCGGCCGAGTTCCAGGCTGCTCCAAATTGAGGTCTTCCGCGGCGCCGTCCACAGTCACTTTCTTCGTTCGTCACGATGACAGTCCATTAACTCTATCGTACTATTAACTAACTTACAGAAGCCACTAACTCTCGTTTGTTATAAAGCCTAACACACAAAATGAACAGGGAGTGTCCGGATCAAAGGTCACTACCGCTTCGCGTAGCAACAGTTATTTCTAGACTAGATCTAGAACTAGATCAAAGGCCGCTTTAGCTAATATTGTCGAATGCACTTATACAGATTCTGAGTCCGATACAATGAGTCCCTGGGAAGCTCTCCAGCAAGGAATGCGCGTCACAAATCCTATACAGAATATTTACTATCCGCGCCTAATTATTCCGAGTTCCCGAAGAAAATTGACAGCGTGCTGGCGTTAGCACAGCTGGCAGACGACTGACTTGTACCTTTAAGCGTTCTCAACCCCACCGCTCGACCGCCGTCAAAACCGGTATGGCACCGAGTCGCGCGCCCTCTGACGTCGATTCCGAAACAGCGTTTGGCGCGAACAAATATATTTTTGAGACATCCATTGGTTTAAAAGAAAAATCGTGAATACAAACGTAATTAGCCGATTCGTTGTGTCACCAATTTTCGACAACTTACACGACAACAAATATTTCATGACACACCTGGCGTGTCAAACGCCACAGACCTAATTAAGCTTAGTTGACATCAAACATCAGTTACAAACGGAAGGATACTTGTTTTTAGTGGGTAACTACGTGTTTTTCTTTGAAATTGAGAGTAAGTGACTTTTTATGCAGAGATTACAAACATTTTGTACTATTTTTTGTTTTATAAAAAAATCATTTATATAAGTAGGTACAGCTAAATCACCCTGGAAAACCTTGGTTTTTATTAAATTAAAATTCACCTAATAATAATATTTGTAAATATCAAACAATCAAGAACCTTAATTTGGAAAAAAGGTTTATGATTCATTAATATTTACAAATGTGAAATATTATTTAATGTTATACAAATGTAAAAGTAAAGTTGATTTGAAAACGTCTAATTAGAAAGAATAGCAAAAAAAGTGTTTTCAAAAGGAAACAAACGCCGGCGCTATACGGCGGCGGATTGACGAGACTATTTATTAGCGAACTTTTTTTATGCATGAACGGTTTCAAACTGTTTCAAAGCAAAAATAAACTTTATACCATATCACAAAAGCACATGGTACTTCGTAGGTCTATTCGGCCATATGGTAGTAATAAGAAGGCAGTTTAACCATTATAAGCAAAATTAAACAATAAGACAAACGCATTGCTTTTTTATAACAGGAGACTTGTTTTCCAGAAATTTATTTACAAGTTGAGTTTGTGAGCGATCGCAATGAGTGCTATTATTTGTTACTTATTAGACTATTTTTCCACAAGATGATTGAAAACCCACAAAGTAAAAAGAGTATGGTACTCTTTTTACTTTGTAACTGTATAAGTTACAAAAAGGTTGTCAACCCCTAAAAATATCAAATTTTCAAAATATCCAGAAACGCAGCTGCAGGCATGAACTGCTTGCAAAATAATGAATATTTTGTTCTGGATAAATTTTCCAAACACGCAATTTGAGCGAGTTATAACGATTTTTAAAAAGACACGACTCGTGTGTCATACGCCACACACAAAAGTAATCGATGGCACGCCTGGCGTGTCATCCGCACTGAACCGGTAGTAAGTACTTACATAAATAATAGCTGAAACTAGTTAGTTCTTAAATCGTGTAATCTTACTTCAAATTTAAGCGCTGGTATTGTACCTCCAACCAGCTTGCTCAGTCCACCCTTGCTTTCAAAAATGTACGAGGGACTAAAATGGATAAAACAAACGAAACTCCTGATGTTGGGCTTCCAGTTGGACCTTTTTATTGCTACCACCCATTTATATGCCAATTCACGGCTTTTTGGAAATCTGAAATTAGAAAAGTATTTAACCGTATTTACCTTTATTACATACCTATAAAAAGCTGAGACGACATTGATCCATATGGGTTAGGAATACAAAGGGTCTTAATTTCTAATGAATAAATTATTATATTATAATTATTACGAAAGAAATCATGTTATTAAAAATATTCGAGTACAACGTAGCACAGTACTTAATTCGATGAAAACCCGAAGCGCGAGGCGATGGCACGTGCTGTGTCGCTCCGGCCGCACACCTCCCGCTGTACCCTTTGACGCCCTAAGTAATTTTGTTAAAATGTGTGTTTCCTTATCGAAATTTTACATATCGATAAAAAGAAATATCATTGTTCTTAGTTTGCGTCCGGGAATTGTTTTTACATTTGCATTTCACCATGGTAACTTAAAATTCAAATATTAAAATATCGTCGAGAGAAACAATTTACACGCGTGACATTTCGTGACTAATAATAACGTTTCCGTTGCCTTTTGAGACTGTTCATACCCGTGCTTACTATTCATACTCGCTAACGCGCGCTCTATAGCTTGCTTATAAATATTCTAAGGGCTCTACCATGTTATGATTAGATATTTTACACTAACGCTTGAAGACTTGACAGCTTGTTAAATGTGGTGTATTAATTATAAGATTCATCTTTCTCTCTTGAGTGTGATAAAGTGTGTCATTATTTCCAACACTTGCTTAAAGTAAATTTTGCAAATAAGTCATTTTATTAGTAATTTTATACGTGGTATTGTGGTTGTAGCATGATTGGGTCTGCTCGACTACTGTTGTGTTTCGTATGGTGAGTGACCGGAAACCCTTTTTACTGAAAAAGAGGCATTCCATCTTAGTCCTCACGGCTAACAACGCATCTGATTTTTATTCGCAAAAGAGAATAGATGTAGATGTATATGGGCCACAGCAACTACTTACCAACAGGTGGACTGTGTGCTCGCTTGTCGCCGTCATTCTATAAAAATAGATCACTTGGCTATGCAGAGGCCGCTTAAGAGATTTCATTACCCTGTATAATCTAGTGGATGTCGTAAGAGGAGACAGAGATAATGTAACAGGATATGGGCAGCAGCATCTTCCTGATAACAACCCAAAATAATAGAAACTGCGGTATTAGCCAACATTAATTTACGAACTCCTAACTTAATGTATTCACAAATAAATAAATTAATTTGAATGAATTTGAATTTAATTTTTAACAGGTAACAGGTATTTTACAACTCGTAATATAATAATCATCACTTGATTTAGAAAACAATTTAGGTACTTGATCGTTCGAATCGAATAAGTCTAGTCCTATTTTCTTTAGAGACATATTATAATAAAATAAATAACCAAACAAAAACGAGTATATCGA